TAACTAATAAAGGAGTCCGGGGTGCCATGCTCGGTCAAATGCTTCCATAACTTCCAGAAACAGTATTTTGAAAGAAAAACCCATGATGGCAAGTTTCAGAATTAGCGAATTCTTATCTGTTTAATCAAACTGCTTTAAGGTCGATAAAAAACAATATAGTTTTCTACCTTCTGAAAAATTTAAATAGATTATATTTGAGAGCACAAATAATTTATCGCTTCTCGGCCTTTTGGCTAAGATCAAAGTGTATTTTCGTCAGTTTATTTTATATTAATTCTGGTGTGAGGAAATCCCTCTACAACGGACAGCTAAGGGCTAACAAAACTGTAGATTTTATTTAAAAAATTCACTCCATAATCAATATTGCCTAAATATGTATATTTATTATGTATTTTTTTAAAAATTTATTATATGTATTTGAAACATCAAAAAATTCATATAAATTTTTTTTAAAGAAGTGTGTACACTTTAAAATTAGGAAATATGTATGTAAAAATTTATGTTTTAAAATATTTTGTAATTTTCTTTTGATTAGCTTTCCAACTTTTTTCTTTACGATAATTTCTTCTTGATTACATATTAGTTGTGATATTGTATTATAACTCATTGAATCTCCCTTCAAAAAAAGAAAAAAACTGTCCGTTATTTCATTAAAAACGGCGTGTTCATTAAATCCGCGTGCGTTAGAGAGGTTTCCGTTGTAGAGGGTTCAAAATTTCCTATATCATTGAGTCTGGACCCGACAAAATTATCCGTTACGAGGGGTGTCCGTATATGAATATGGCACACTTGTGTAACCAGGAATATTAAAGCATAAATGGAATACAAACACATGTACAAAATACTATAAAAACTTACACACTCCAAATACAAATAAAAAACAAGGATAACTATCATTGTAATAAATAGTTGCAAACAGGAATATCCGCCGATAGACAAAGTGCTATCGACAACTCGTCAAAATAAGATATATTTCTTCTGTTTCTAAAATATGAACTATACAACTGTTTCTATATATTAATTAAGGTTTTTAGTTGAGACAAAAAAATCAATGTCACGAGCGGGATTCGAACCCACGACCTTCGGCTAGATCGTATCTATTATCTAGGCTTTTTTATTTCAACTAAAAACCTTTATTAATTGAAAGATATTAATTGGTCAAGCGGTCCACGAAGACTAGTGAATTGTATCTATACTTTATACAGATTGCTTCTGGTTTTAACATACTAAACTTAAATCTCTGCTTATTTAGTTGCATAGCGTCGTCGATCATTGCTAAAAGTCATTGTTGGAACGTCGAAAAATGGCTTCGCCTGTTTAACAATGCAACGCGCTTAACGCCGGGAAATATTTCACAATTGATCATTCGTATGTTAAACGTGTTAAGTGCCGTCAGAGTTTTAAAAATGCCAACACATTTCAAAGCCGTTTAGGTTCTATTGATTTGTCACGAACCCCGGTGAAAATCGAGCGCACTCGTTGTTGACAAGTGAATGAAAAACCTTCCCGGATTAAGAGCCAACTTTGGGAGATTGAAAGATCTATTTTAAGAATTCTTTTATTATCAAGCCCGTGTCAATCGGGAGGCACGTCAGAAGATAACGGAACCGGATAAAGTGGAAGAGGTTCGCAGAGGACGATCGGTCACCGTCAAATCTTGCAGGACAAGGTCCCAGTCCTTCCCGTCGGGAAACTATTAACTTTTAAAAAACCTTTGGATGAAAAAATAAATAGTTTAAAGCTTCAAAAATATTTTTAAATTTATGAAAAATGGACGTGCCTAATCCTAGACAAACGCCGGGCAGTGTTAAAGGCTTTCACACACGAGCTATTTCTGTCACTATTGAACCATTCATTTTTTTAAAACGGAAATAATCTTGCTTTAAATATAATTCTATACTTGCACAGCAGTCTTGTCTTTTCCGTTTGTTCCTCGCCAGTGAACCCTTGGCCCAAAAAGACATTTTTTTTCTTTATTCTCTCGCATTCGTGCGATATGAGACAACATAGATGAATTTTTTCGCTTTTCTCCATAAATGGGAAGGAAGTGACGACATCGGTAAACGTAACGTAGACAATAATAATTCTATCTTGCATTTTATAAATTTTAAGTTCTCTCTCTCTCTCTCTCTCTCTCTCTCTCTCTCTCTCTCTCTCTCTCTCTCCCTCCCTCTCCTGTTTACATTTGATTAAAATTACAATTGGACATACTAGACGATTACACGTCCAAATCTTAGGCTCTCTCTCTCTCTTTCTCTCTTTTTTTTCTTTCTCTCTCTGTTTTTTTCTTTCTCTTTCTATTATCTATCTGTCTATACATCTATCTCCCCTCTCGTTCATTCTTTTACCTTTCTTTTTCATCGTATCTTCTTTCATATTTTTCCTCTTTCTTCTTTCATATTTTTCCTCTTTCTTCTTTCATGTTTTTCCTCTTTCTTCTTTTTATCTTTTCTTTGCCTCTTTCTCTCTCTCTCTCTTTTTCTTTCTCTTTCTCTTTCTATTATCTATCTGTCTATACATCTATCTCCCCTCTCGTTCATTCTTTTCCCTTTCTCTTTCNCTCTCTCTCTCTCTCTCTCTCTCTCTCTTTCTTTCTTTCTTTCTTTCTCTCTCACTCACTCACTCTATCTATCTATCTTTCTGTCTTCTCACTCACCCTCGTTCTCAAACACAAACCACCAAACCAGATAGAAAAATTTTGGACAAGTACTAAAAAGTATGTTCAAGAATTAAAATAAATAACTAAAACCAATCGAGGTTCTGTTAAATGCATATTTATTTCAAATTAACTTTACAATGATAACAGAATAAAATTGTACCATAAGAGCAGGAAAGGACGAACTCTAGGCTTGGCAGAATGGCTCATTCAGATTTTAATTTCCTGTTCCCTTTCGCCTCTCCAATAAACGCCGGCTCACATGGCTCACATATACGATTTGGATGTGAATTGAATAAATTACAGATCATAAATTCCGTCCCATGTGTCACAATAGTGATGAAATCATGCGTTGAAGTTGCCATTTTGTGTCAATATTAATTGAAGAAATTTCTATTTTGTAACAGTGGTTCGCAACAGCAGTAATATCTTGGTGTTTTTTTTTTGTTTTTTTTTAGGGGGGGGGGAATGCAAGTGTATAATCGGTCGAGCATTTGAACGCAGGACCTCTTGGTTGTTTGTAATTGATCTGGTTTTGTGTGTGTTGGATGGTTTGTGTTTACCCTAGTTTCCCTCATTTCTTAATTTCTGTTCGCTTTGTATACTCCTGTTCTATTTTTTGTATTTGATTGTTCGCTGGGTTTATACTACTTTTTTTGAGCGTACGAACACTTGTTATTTGTGATTTTTATTCACGTGCCGCTTTTATTTAATTTATAATCGATTGATTTGTTTATACTACTTTGTATTATCTATTATTATTTGGAGATCGTGAGATGCGGTTTGTTGTGACGTAGGTGCAGAAAAACATTTTCTTTATCGTGCCTACGTTCGACCTTTCATGAGATCATCTTCAGGGCTAAAAGTGTTCGTTTTCTGTGTAGATGTGTTGAGAGTGCCCCCTGTTGATTTAAGTCTGTTGGAACGCTTATTTTATTATTTGTAAATCATTGTTTGTTGCATTTAGATTGTTTAGTCTTCTTTCTTATTTTATGTTTGGAGTGGGTCCGCTAGTATTATCATTTGTATTTGGTGGATTTTTGTGTTTATACTAGTCTGGCTCGTTTTTTAATCTGTGATTGCTGCGTGTTTGTACTATTATTTATTTGATTGTTTGCTACGTTTGTACTACTTTGATTTGTTATTTGTGTTCACTGTGCTTGTTCTACTTTTTTACATTTATGATTGATTGTTTGCGGTGTGTTACCTATATTTGTTAATTTGTGTTTCTCTCTCTCTCTCTCTCTCTCTCTCTCTCTCTCTCTCTCTCTCTCTCTCTCTCTCTCTCTCTCTCTCTCTCTCTCTCTCTCTNTTTCATGTTTTTCCTCTTCCTTCTTTTTCCCCTTTTCTTTTAGTTCATCCTTTGCCAACAAAGAGGATTATCACGCTAAGCACCAATGCCGTAATTTTTACAATTTTGCAAAGGGATCCATTTGTTTTATTTCATTTGGCTCAAAATTGGCCGCGTATGCATCCCGCTGCACAAACCGATGGAAAACGTCCTTTATCTTTAGAGCATTTTGTTTGGAATATGTTTATCAAAAACTTTCAGGGTCATATCAATTCCAATTTAATGAATTTTCGAAGCCCTTAGGGAGTCCAAAAATGACTCGTTTTATTAGGGGATACCCACAGAGTTTAAATATTTTAGTTTCAATTTTTAGTTGATCATTTGTTATCATCCTGTTCTATCTACTTTGCCCGTTTTCCTAGTTTAGTGTGTCATTATTTGACCAAGCTCAGTGACGATCAGGAATTTCATATGCGGACCTAGATGACTAGAAATAGCCATATAAAAGTTTAATCACCCCGCAAAACTTACACCCTATGAAAAAAAAATCGGCGAGCAATGTTTTTATGTCGTAAATTAGCCGGCAATGGGGAAAATTCGAACTTGAAGAGAAAATCGCATCTCCTGAAAATTTCAGTTCAATTCAATAGTTTCTGTTACGTAGCCTCGTGGTTCATATCGATGGACATCCGACGAAGGGTAACAACGCCCTCAGGCTGACATGGCCCCCACATTCATAGTGTCCACAGCTGAGTGAACACTGTCGGCGATAACCTTCCCAAACTATAACCCCTCGATTTTCCTTACATAGTGGACGGACTCTATCGCTATCCTATGAACTGGGTTTCCTACAGCCTTATTTCCAACATATTTTTAACATTCTTTATAATTATTATTATCTCACGTTAGCAACTAAGACGGGGACCGGCTTATAAGCTTAATGTTTCATTAAACCTCTGAACATTGACCATAATAATTTAAGATAAGAAAGCATGTTTTTTTATAGTTGAAGTTATTTCCTGAGACCTAAATATTGATTTTTTTTTGTTGCAGTCTGCGGAGATATCCATGGGCAGTTTTACGACCTAATGAAACTGTTCGAAGTCGGGGGACCTCCTGCGACCACCAAGTACCTCTTTCTCGGTGATTACGTCGATAGGGGTTATTTCAGTATAGAGGTGAGTGCCTGTTCAAATATTCCATACCTTCTGATAACTTGATTAGAGGTACACTTTAATAAATGACGCGGGTGATGTCATTAATGGAGTTAATACCCTCTGCACTTCATTAGCAAACATAGCCCGTCAGTCCTCTAGGAAATGAAGGGCTCGCGAGACTTGGCGGGTTTCTAATTGTCCATCCACTCCATCATGCCCTTAGCGTCGTCATCGATCAACCGACACCAGAGGCGGGAAAAGCCCACTTTTTTTTGACAATTTACATATTACATCTAAGCCTTGCTTTGCATGCGAAGTCAGACCGAAATCATCGCTTTCCGATTAGTCAACTTTTTCCTCATCTTGTTCTGTCAATTTTGTTGAACATTTTTAAATTATGGATTGACAATACTCTAATCCATCAACGTCAAATCCCATCAAATCGATATTTCCCACACACATTTTAATCGTGGATTTAAAACGACAAATGTTAAATGAAGAATTTATCTTTACCCCTGTCAGGCCGGGGGTGTTTTTATTAGACAAAACGAAAAATTGCGGAAAATACATTATGTAAGCTATTATTAAATCAAGATTTTCCAGTATGATGGCAAGGATCAAATCCATCCGATGGAACCGTTCTGGCATTTACAAAATTGAATTATTTGAAACTGGGGAAATAGTAGCAGAAAGCACAAGTTCCTGTTGTGTTTGCTTCCCACTCTGCTATCCTTCGTATTTGTCCTGAATATTATACGATAATTTAATTGTCTTGTTTGTGCCGATCCTCATCTGATCACCCTATCTTCCTTTTCGTTCAAAATTTCATTGTGTACCTGGTACCCAAGTATCATCAAGTTGTGTTTCTTCAGGTTTTGTAGATTTTGGATGCATTCACTGACCAGTTTTGATGTAATTTTTTTACATGCTTACCTTTTTTAAAATTTTCTAAGGCAAAAGCATTGATGGCATGAATTTGAGCTTGAATTTTTTGGACTTGTTCAAAAACACGATACTTTTCTTTCATGTTTTGGTGCCATCTGTATACCAAATTATTCTATCGTTGAAGGACTTAGTTTTTTCAGTTTAAAAAAAAATCAAAGAAGTGAAAATTTTCCACCATTTATTATAAATAATTGACAGTAATTTTAATTAAATGTTTCGATTTTATCTGCTTAGTTTTGTTTTACAAACCATAAAGTTGTATTTTTGACCAGATGTTTGGTGACCGCCAGGCTATGTAAAATTATGCTCAGTATAACCAATTAATATTGAAGATAAACGAGCCTTAATTATATTTATCTGACAATTATTTTTGTGCTTTATTTAACCGAAAGAATTAGAGTCAGCGGGGCTTGTGCTTCGGTTGTCACATCATACAGGTATTTTAGTTGAAATAGTGTCGTGATTATTATAATTAGACGTTAGGGCAGCAGGATGTTGCGAAGACGGACAAATTGAAGAAGTGCTATTTATAATTGGTGGGACTCGTCCGGGGGCTGGCCTATCTTTGGAGATGCTGGGCGATTCGCAACAAAGCTCCGACGGATCCGGTTACCCGCGACATCATCACGGTTCGAAAACGATATTGGCCCCGACGCGTCCTTTATCGCAAACAAAGTGTAAAATTTTAATTTAAGATTATTTTTAACCGGAGGGGTTTCGGACATTAGCAAAACCTATTCTTAAATTCTTAAAGTATTAGAATGTTTTCTGGCTTATCAAGATTTTGTAAAAATCGTTCTGACTGATGATGTCTAATTATGCTCTCAACAATTGGCAATACTTCAAATCTTATATTTCATACCAATTAACTCGTGATAACAAGTCTATTGTTTTACTAATTGAGGTTATTCCATTAATTAATTATTTTTTGTAAATAACAATATTTCAATGACATTAGAATGCCCTATTAAAGGAAAGCATACAATATTCTGTGTTTTAACCCTTTTTGACCCAATGTTGTTTAAGTGTCACACCCAACTTTTAGTTGAAAAAATGTGTTAAATGTTAAAGCGCCATATGCCAAAAGGTCAAAAATCATCTTCATAATAAAATCTCTTGTGGCTGAGATAATTGAAACCGCGATCCGCCACTCTCCGAATGACAGTAATCACGAGTTTATGAATAATAGCTTTAATCAAAACGCAATACTGCGGAAAAAAAATTCCATGCGACTTTTGTTAAGGTTCAACCATCATTACTTTGGATCGTACCTCAGCTGAATCATCAAGGAGCCAGCCCCTGACTCAAAACACATATGTCTGACGTTTCCCAACTTAAATATGTACGATGAAAAGCGTAGGAATTTCATAGCCGTGCTCAATTACCTGGATGGGATACTGAAAGACACCAACACGTACAGATGGTTTTTCAGATGGCGGAGATAACAGCGTGGAAATCTAAACTTTTTTAAAGTGTCCACTTTCTTTCCTAAAAATTTGTAAAAATATATTTCCATCATTGAAAAAAAATTAAGAGAACGTACGAAAGAACTCTTGCACAATACCACAAGCCTGCGAGAGTTATTTTTTTCATTGTACTAACCATGATTTTTGTCGTGATTTAGCATCGAGTGATTTGTTGTAAATTTATTGGATTATTGTCTGGTGCATCGACGTAGATAGTTATCATTTGAGGAACTAACAAAAGCAAATTAGTTTCTGCCTTTGTCACTTCGGTTTGCCAATTATATCTATATTATATCTACATCTTAAAATGCTAGATTATCGTTTGTACCTCAACTGCAAATGACAAATAGCCCCAAAACATAAAATACATATAGATATATCAACACCCAATGCAAACATAGAAGTCTGGTCATTTCTCCAGAGTACTGTATATTCCGGCAGGTTCGAAGCCACTCCATTCTCGCTAATTACTTACTTTCTCCAAAGATCATACATTCACCCCAGAGTATTTCATATTCCTCTGTGCGGGTTTAAACAACATTTTCCTTTCACGCTATTAAATTACATTCATCCCAATAAATTAACATAATATTCGATGTAATATAAAATCCTGGTCACATTCACTCCCCCAACGACACTACGTTCATCGCGGCGGGGTGCGACCTGCTGCAATCTCGCTAATAATTACTTTTTTACTCCCTAGATGTCACACACTGACCCCAAGTACTCGAAATTCCTCGAAGTAGGTTAAACAACCTCTTCCTTTCACGCTAATAAATTACATCCATTCCAATAAATTAAACCTAATACCCGATCCAACATAGAAGTCTCGTCATGTTCACTCCCCCAGAGACTCCACATTCATCGCGGCGTGGTAGAACCCACTCCATTGTCGGTAATAGCTTACTTTTTTAGTCCCCATATGTCACATACTCACCCCAGAGTACTCGATACACCTCTGTGCGGGGTTAAATAACCTCCTTCGTTCACGCCAATAAATTACATTTATTCCAATAAATTAACATAATCATAATATCCGAACTACATACACTCACCCGTGAGTACTCGAAATTCCTCGAAGCGAGGTTAAACTATCTCTTCCTTTCACGCTAATAAATTACATTCATTCCAATAAATTAACATAAACATAGCATCCGATCTAACGCAGAAGTCCGGTCATATTCACTCCACGAGATACTCGACATTCTTCACGGCGTGGTAGGACCAACTGCATTCTCGCTAATAAGTTACTTTTCAGATGTCACACATTCACGCCCCCTCGACATTTATCTGGGTGGGTTTTTTTCCTATTATCTCATTGTTTAACGGTGCAATCGTAAATTTATAAACATTTCACAAAACACTAGTTAATAGAAGTGATGAATGCTGACGCGAGTGCGGTGTTCAATCCTTTTCAAAAACTAGTTATGTTTATTATTTCCAATTATGGTTTTTAGTAGGTCGTGGTCCCTTTCAAGCCAACGCAGAAGACGGAAATTATAAATTTACATCGTAAATATCATGAAACTCCCCGGCCTGTTAACGTTAACCTGTAAACAAACAAAATTAGTTATAAATGCCCGGTCTCAATTTAGTACGTCCAGATTTGGAATAGGTTTTTTAAAAAACAAACGAACCACTTTAAAACTTGCAAAAGTTTACGTTCAATTAATTCTTTAGTGGTCATGTCTTGTACTGTAATAATGCAATTAATAATAAATCCATATATTATGAAAGTAAGACAGCAAAATCAAGATATGCCATAGCAGAAACATAATAATTTATCAGTTGAATTAATAACTTGGTGAATAACTTAAATGATGGTGTAACTAGAATTATTAAAAATATTTAGATTTTAGCTCTTAACCATATTTATATCATACGGGGAAAGTACAAGGTTTCATTAAAGTTTCATGAGAAAAAAATCATTTATGGTAATGATAAAAACTACCATTTGTCATTGTAATAGTGGATGATTCCATATTTTTTCCTTGTATTTTCATCGCTGTACCGTACCTTTTCCTTCCTATTGTGATGGAAAGAGGCATTAAAGGGGGGGGGGGTTAGTGGGCTTACTTAAACCGACTTAGCACAAGGCTTTCACGCATGGCGACACGCCGTATCAAGCCTGTTTACCCAGGGCGAAAGTCGGTCCCCTCTTGCCTTCTAATGGCCTCCGGTGTATCCATCAACGGTCTTGGGAAAATATCGCTTCTTCCTGGCCTTTCCATCCCCCTTGTGAAAAATTTCCACGAATATCTTGGCAACCGCTTATATTTTTTTAGTTCCCACCGTAAATTTTCACACTGAAGTTTCAGATCTTGTTTGAAATAGAGCGAAATAAAGAAGAAAGTTATCACAGATCGAACGATAAGGCTTCTTAGATTAACTCAGTATGGTTACAATTTAAAAAAATATATATCTTAGTCTTACCCAACGAATTTGATAAAATAAGGTCTCCCTCGACGATAAAGGATAAATTGGTTGAGCGACGAACCTTGCAATCTGTCGGACACAGTTTCAATCTCTTGGGACATTATTTCCACTAGGGTTACTTCAATAATAGATTTTCAATAGAATTGAAATAATATCTGTTTTGACTCGCTCTTCCCCGTAAAGGCTTAAAAATTCAAACGTTTAACTTGAAATCCATATCATGCAGACTAC